GGTGTAATGATAAATCATAGAAAAAATTTTGATTAAGTTTACTGTGACTCGATTTTTTAAACGCTTAAGTTTTAGGTAAATATGTTTCTGCCATTGTTCTTTATAACATTATTTTTTATTTTGTGAAACCCATAAATAGTACCAAAAAATAATAAAACTGATACCTCTGTTAATTATTGTGCAATTTTTTTTATTTAGGAATCAAGTTGTTTGTTGTTGTGTCAAGTTTTCCTTAACTTTTGCAGTGCTGTTGTCCTGCGTAGTTAGCTCCCTTAGTCGGCTCTTACAACACCCACGGGATGAATAGGGGTGGTGACACTCCGTATTTGAAAGTATGTAAAGTATATACGTTTTTTTTGTTGAGGGGGTGAAAAATCCCTTCGGATCTCCGGCTCCTTGAGGATGTAGGAGGCAGGAATATGTGGTGTTTCCACTAAAAACCACCCCGACGGCCGGACTCAGTCGCCCTACTCCGAGGAGGACCCGGATCATGTTATTTCAGGTCCCCCTCGGAAGCGTCAGCTTAGTTAAGCCGTATCCCGGGGAAGCTATCGACCTTCCCCCGCCTATCGGCCCAATCATTTTAATATATATACATATAGTAAATCTCAAAATACTACATCTTTCTAAAAATATTATAAACTCCAAAGTGTGTAAAGATTAAGGAATGGATCTTTGAAACAGTATCACGCTAAGACGATTGAACAGATCTTTCTGAAAACGTAGTTGACTCTGCTGGGATTGGTTAATATGACAGTTTTTTTTAAAGACAAGTCTCACATTAGGAATATATCCTGGGTCGCTGGGGACTTTACAAACGTACATGAAACGGACACAAAGAACACCCAGACTCAGAACAACAATTTGTGGATCACACAAAGTGTCGTCCCGTGTAGGGTTTGCACCCACAACACTCGGCGTAGTAGGAAGCGGCGTGGCGACCGCTTAAACCACTACGAATCCGTGCATTCAAAAAGTTTTTTGACTTTTCAATTAACATCCAAATTCATTTAATAAAAATTTGTTATATATATAATACAAACAGACACTCCAATTTTAAGTACGTACTCTACTACACTTGGTATGTTAAACAAATATCAATAATTATAGCGATGGATCAACACATTTCTATAAAAGAAAACCAAATAAATAAATAGGTCAATTTATTAAGAATCCATCCTATTCCATACAAACACACGGATGTAAATATGTTTTAAAATCTTAGTACTCTGAGAGAAGCTGGTTCTTAATAAAATTTGTAACAGCCGGGGTAAGATATTCATGGTTTTTTGGATGCCATGGCACTTATGTTAAGTTCTAACTTACATAAATTTGTTCGTAAAGAATTTAATTCTCTCAAAAAGAAATTTACATTTCACTTACACTAGAATATATGTTTCACTTAAATTTACTATTGTTAGGTGCGTGGTTTAATATCACGCCATGCTCTTTTATTTAGTGATTTATTCTATTCACTTGATAGAGCATCTCATAATTGTAATAATCCCCATAAAAACCTTCGAAAAGGCGCGAAAAAGCGGCAACTACTACTGACATTTAACAAATGTTTCTGGGTAATAAAAATCGTTGAGCCTCAATTTTTTCACCTAAAACATCAGTATTTTCGTCTGTGTGTTTTTGTTTAAAAATATGCCGAATATTCCTTATAAATAGATAATACTTTAATAGTATTTGGTTTATAAAAAAAGTATTAATAATGAGTTTTGGTTCCAAGAGTGACATCTATTATATTCCTGGGAAATTACTAAAAGTTACAACTGTAAGTCTAGCAAATGTAATACAAATGACTTTTCAAAGAGGGCGCTAAGAGTGAATAACCTATTCCGAAAATGGTTACTATTTATTAACGCTAAAAAAACTTTGAAAAAAGTATTTTTTACAGCTAACATTACTGCATCAGATTTCAATTAAAATTGATTTTAAATCTCTTATCGCATTAAATAAAATATTTAATATTTAAATAAAAATTAATCAGAGTTTATCTCAATCCAAAATATTTACAGATTGCATTTAGGATCCAAATCACATTAATGTACTCCAAAAAAATATTATAGGAAATGGCGCATGAAAATTGATATTATTGTTAACCACAGTTCTCAAGAAATTACTCATAACAAAACTAAACTAAAGTTATATGTCTAGACTAGATGTTAACATTTGTCAATAGATGTCCCTCTAATCAATATCGGTAAAAGAGCGATCGAATACTTTCAAAACTCCTCTACATTTTTAATTTTCGAATTGAATTTTATCGAAGAATTTTTTTAGAGATAGAAACATAAGCAATTTTATTTTCGTTTACAATTCGATTAAAAATATCGAATAAACAAGTATATTGAAAACATCGAGCAGCGAGCTATTAAAGTGAGTAACGGCGTCATCTGCTCGTTATCAACATTAAAAAATCTGTCTACTTTCAGGGAGATTTTTATCTAGATTTATGTAATCTAAATTATCTTAAAGATTTATTTATTTATTGAAAACATGTACAGTATCTTTACAGGATCCTTATTCTAAAACGATACCGTAAGTAAAAATAGTAAGTAACAATTATTTTATAAAGAGAAATAATTAATTAAGAAAAATAATTCATAAAAATAATACACCTTTGGGCAAGTTCTTTGAAGTTCGGCAGTGATTGCGCGTGATATAGGGGCATATCGAATCAGATTTGTTCGCGTTACGAGAACGCTGAGCGAAGGAGGCTGGCGGCGTGCACCCACGCACCCGTCAGCGGCGCACAGCCGCAAACTCGCTTGTGTGTCGGGTTGGTGCAGCAGGTTGGTTTATGTTGATATTCTAGGAATGGTTAGTTATTTAATGTGAGTATACAAAATTTTCTCTGATTAACGAGAAATTATTTATTGTTTAAAAAACCTCTAACCGAGTTTGGGCGGTAACAACACAATTATAAAGTTTGGCGATTAAATAAAAACAGTTTCCCTGTGTTTTTTCTGTACTGGAAAGTTACTCAACAAGAATTTAATCAATGAATTTGCCTACATTAAACCAACACTAAGAGATAAAATAATAGAGATAACAGTTAGTATACTAGGGGTAGTAAATCTTTTTTTTTTCCTATTACCTTTTTTCCTATGATTATGTTTCAGCTAAAATACTTGATGTTTTTAAATAACATAAAGCATGGCATGGATATTCTGCTATAATCAGGTCATGGTTCTCGTTTCTAGCAACCTTTTCTCCTTATAGGTTTCTCCCAATTGCACTCTCGCTCTGTTCTATGTATAACTAGGTAATAAGAAAACAACCATTCTGCCGTTTCTTTGATTAGTGATTGTGTTTCTCAGACGAGGACTGGGTTTTCACTAGATCATGTTTACTTCCTTCATACAACATCAGGGAAAATGTCTTCTGCTATCACCGGTTAAATTAAAAAATCGGTTGTCTGTAAAGTCGGTTTACTGACTATAGTTGAACGTGACAACGTCATAAGACAATACTGATGGAATGGTTGCATTTTTTTTAAATGTATTATTGTATACGAGTAGCAGCTGTCCACGCGGACGCATCGCTCACTCATGTAGGAGAGAGACAGATGTCGAACGCTGCCGAACGCGGAGGCCGATTGTGCCTCTTTGTCATTCGTTCCGCGCTCTCGCTTGCACTTCACGCCTTAAATGGAACGCCTCAGAGCGAGGTAACGCCGCATGAGTCATGTTTTTTCGTGCGTACAGCCGGCTCCATCGAATTATAAGACGTTGTCACGTCAAAACGTGACAATTATTCTTTAATGAGCCTTGAGTACCTGAAGATAGTATGAAAAAATATAAAAACAATTAAAATGGCGTGAGGGGTCTGTGCACCCCCGGTCGAAACGAAGTTCCTTTCGCTTTTTCGTAGACGTTTGCTATAGTGTTGGAAAAGTCTTGTTACCCATTTTTCGTTATACATGTAGGACGTGTAACGCGCGATCAGGAAATTCGTTTTATGGAATAAAAGAAACAAAAAACAAATGGCTCCATGAGATAATGCATTCTCCTAATTTAGAATATTTAAAAAATCCGTATAAACTAATACAGTAAATACCTTTTAAATGTACCTAAATAACTTCTGAGTTTAATCGCGACCTTATTAAACATTGACTTTATCTCGTTAACAATAAATATGTGTACCGTAAGTACAATGATAGTTATACGATACTAGCTGACCCGGCAAACGTTGTTTTGCTATATACATTATTTCTAGGCAATACTGAAAAAACATTTAGGTGTGGGTCACCCTTGTCATTTAGGGGTATGAAAAATAGATGTTGGCCGATTCTCAGACCTACCCGATGTGCACACAAAATTTCATAAAAATCGGTCCAGCAATTTCGGAGGAGTATGGTAACTAACATTGTGACACGAGAATTTTATATAATATAAGATAAATTTTGCACTATACATCTTTTAACGTATTCATACGTCATTACATAAGGAAAATAATAATAATGATGTAATCATAAATTTTATAAGTAACGATGCTCGTTGTACTGTGTTCAATAGTCGTCAGTATATGATAATAATATGAATGTTGTGTAGATTTAAACGAAACTTTCTCCAAAAGTAAGGCTAGTAAGGAGAATTCAGTTTAGCTGTGGCAACACTACAAGTAGCATGCCATGCTGTGCCCTGACGATTGCACGATCAACTGTTTATGTAAACTTCTGTCAAGTGCATTGTGTTTCAAAATAGTTAACATCGAGTAAAACAACAATCGACGTTCCACTTTCGCTATAAGAATTATAGTATCGTGCAACTTCCTAATTTAGCGAATTATTTAATTCTAAATAACATAGAATTAACAGTCTTGTGTAACAGAGACGGTGTTTTTTAAAAAAAAAACAGTGTCATATGTTTACGATATCCTTCGGGATGGAAGTTGTAACGTAAAATAAAATTGTGTTAAGTGAAAATTAGTGTATGAGCGTTACCTGATTAGTGACTATAGGCAATAAAAATGTATTATGTTATATCGAAATGATATCGTCTTCCAATAACAGAGTTCAAAAAATAAAAAACCAATTTGAGAGTTTAAACAACGACATTGTACCGGTGAGAATTGAGTCACAATTGTATAAACATAAACATGGTTTCTCTGCAAACGTTGGCAAGGAAAACACTGAAAATAAAATCGATTGTAATTTATCGCCTAATAAGGATATTGATATCACTAATGAGTCAGAAAGTAGCGATGAATGCTCGCCTAAACCCAATAACAGTTACTTGTATAACAAAATAGACGTAAAACGAAGTGTTAGTGATACGAAAAATAGTTTATCCCGCCAAATTAGTGATCCTGGCAAGAAACTGCACAGAAGCCATGCATTTCGGTGTGACAGAAGTCAAAAAATAATTAGTAATACACCTAAAAGGCACGGTAGTTGCAACGGAAGAGCGGAAACCAGTGATTTTTCTTTTAAAATGGAGCGTAAATTAAGTAAGGATAGATTAAAAAGGCTCGGGAATTTTTTAGAAGACCAAATGCGGAAAGAAAATTTTCATCCTCCAGTGTATACACAACTTATTGAGCCGACCAGTGAACCAGTTCTAGCCGATTCCATTCCAGATTCCGATGTCCCTGAGCACATTCTTCAACAGTATGCTCAGGTGGTGAAACCCAAGAAGAAAGATGTAGACAAGCAAGATGCAATGACTGATAGTGGAGTCAGTTCTGAAACAGAGAACATTGATGATGACAAAGCTGGTCGTGTGAAAAAATTAAAGTCCCAGTTTGAGAAGCCATCAGAAAAGACAAATTTACCCGCCATGGATGAATTCTGTAATTCCAGTGATACTATCCGGTTAGAGCTTAAAAACCCTCACTTAAAACTAACAGACACATTAAAGAAGGCTTTAAAACAACCTCTGCCTGCTGGGCCTCCGCCTAAAAAGCCACCTCGTGTTTTTAACTCTAAACCCACAATATCAGAAGAAGACATTGAACAACAGAAGAGAGAAGCTAAGAGAAAGCTTGAAAAATTAGAGAACTTATTGCTTCAAAAACGTGAAGGTACCGAAAAACCTGATAAAAATCAAAATTTCCAAAAAAAGCCAAAAGAAATCCACTATTTATGTACAGAAATTCTGGATATAACCAATAGAACATTGCTACCGAATCAAACATCAGATCCCATATCCCGTTGTCTGAATTCTCTAAACTGTGCCATTACAAATAATTCTACGTCAAGTCTACCATATACCCATTTAAATGCTGAAAACCAGGCTACATTAATGACATGTTGCACTTCCAGCTTGGACAGCATAGAAGAGAATCAAAGGAAGTGCACAAAATGTACAATAAACGATGGGAAGGAACACGGTTTTAAGTGTCATTTGAACTGTAAATGTGTTGTGAAAAATTCTGAATTTTATGTGAGTGATCATATTTATGATGTGCCTTATTCAGAAGATGATATTAAAATTGTTAAGAAGAACAAGTACGGGTCTCTGAACACGCTGAAGTCTAGCAGAAGTATGGATGATTTGAGACTGAAAGCAATTAAAGTAAGTAATAGAATATTGATTTTTTAATATTTATTTCTGTTGTATCAATATCTGTATATTCACACACACATATCTTATAAAGGGTAGCCAAAGATATAATATTAAAATGGCCATCTTTTTTCAACTAGGATTTAATTTACACTAACATAATATTTTTTATCCATGTGGTGACGGATTAAGAATACAGAGTGTCACCACCCCTATTCATCCCGTGGGTGTCGTAGGAGCCGACTAGGGGAGCGAAATATGCAGGACAACAGCACTTCAAAGAGAAGGAAAACTATACACAAACCCTATACCAACCCGTCTGGCCAGCGTGGTATAGTAGGCCAAAACCTCCTTTCTAAGGAGAGGACCATGTCCAGCAGTGGACTGTTAAAGGCTGTTGATGTGATGTGTGTGATGTAATATTTTTTTAATAAACAACCAAAGGACAGAGAAAATGTAGTCAAATTTTTACACATTATGATTAGCAGGTAAATACAGCTGAATTAACAGTGTTTGTCAGTTACGGTTGAATTAACAGTTGTATTAAAAGCAATGTGTTATTTGTTGTATAAAAGCTGACATGATAAAGATGGTTCTTAGCTATAATTTGTGGCAATCATCAAATCATTTCTTTCTTAGTCTGATTGATTTTGAAATTACTTTAGTTTCATTTCCATGATATCGTAAGCTTGACCTGATGGTGCAGAATAACCTTAGGTTGAAGGACCTAAGTACCAATTAATATTACAATCAACTTTCTCAGTGTTTACCACTGTTTAAATTATTTTATCATAAATATTTTTATCAAATGATAACTCAAAGATAATGTTTCGTTTATAATCATTTTATTGTTTGTTAATGGGTAATCTTATCAGTAGTTATTGACTGTTTGAGTTATGTACAGGACTTCCAAACCCCCATTTTATCCCATTTGATCAATATCTTTTTTCTTCCATTGATTTCATTGTTGATGGATTAAAATATGGAATGTCACCACCCCTATTCATCCCGTGGATGTCGTAAAAGTCGACTAACTACGCAGGACAACAGCACTGCAAAGAGAAGTAAAACTTGACACAAACCCTATACCAACCCGTCTAGCCAGCGTGGTATAGTAGGCCAAAACCTACTTTCCAAGGAGGGGCCTATGTCCAGCAGTAGACTATTATAGGCTGTTGATGATGATGATGATTTCCTTTTTGCTGACTACAATTTTAGTCCTACTTACGAAAGTCACAAACCTATTGCCTTTAATTGCCTACATATATTTCTATATACCTAACCATTAAGATAATCTATACAAATAAATAAAATTGAAGTGTCTGTTTGTAATGTCAAAATAATAGGTTTTTTTCATGCTAACACGATTATTTGCACAAACCTATGCCTAAAAACCAGTTTTTTTTTCCTATACCTAAACACAAGTATTAAGTTTTCAGAATACCAATCTTTATTTGACAGGACTAAAAGACTTTTCGAACAATCGAATTGCGCCAATGCCTGCGTCTTTCCATTTCTTATTTTATCTATAACTAGCTGACCCGCGCAACTTCGTCTGCGTCTCTCAATAGTAATAAATTTTCTCCGTTTTTGAAACATTCTTCATTGGTGCTCCGCTCCTCTTGGTCTTAGCGTGATGATATATAGCCTATAGCCTTCCTCGATAAATGGGCTATCTAACACTAAAACAATTTTTCAAATCGGACCAGTAGTTCCTGAGATTAGCGTGTTCAAACAAACAAACAAACTCTTCAGCTTTATAATATTAATATAGATATGTATCTATTTAAAAATATATAAGCATGTTTATCAGCAGTCTGGTTACCATAGTACAGGCTCTGCCTAGTTTGGGATCAGACGGCCGTGTGTGAGATATGTTATTATTATTATTTTGGGTATAACTCTTAAAATAACAAACTTCAATACAACCATTCATCCATTATGTTACCCCTTATGTTAAAAATCTTATCTTAGTGAGTGCTTACAACATAAAAAGTATCAGATGCTCTTCTGCTGCTTCTTTTGGATTTTTCTAAGTTTTTAGCTTCCAGCGTTTAGGCTCTGCATTGAATGACTCAGTCAGTAGGACAAATAAAATGTATAAAAAATGGACGGGAATTAATGAAACTGGTTCTTTAATAGGCATTACATAACTTTGATTTACCTGACGTTTCGCTATGATCTCCGGTACCCAAACTGATAGTGGGAACTGGACCACGTTAAGGAAGTATTCGAAAGTAACGGATGTCAAGTAAATGGTGAACGGAAATAACCAAAAATAAGATAGAGGCAAAGTCTTATAGTAAAATTTAATAAAGCTATGGGCCTTATACGAGTAACATCAACTCCCGCATTAGGAATATATCCTGTGTCGCGGGGGACTTTACATGTAACGGACACAAAGAACACCCAGACTCAGAACAACAATTTGTGGGGATCGGACCCACAACACTATAGTAAACGTCTATCAAAAAGCGAAAAGAACCTCGTTCCGACTGGGACTCCATAGACCATTTACGCCGTTTTTGTAACGTAGTTCCTTACCGCGCGTTCTGAGCGGCTGGAAGCAAGACCGAAAAATGTGTAACAAGACTTTTTTTCCGACACTTCCGTTGGCGTGTCGACGCTCACATCTTTTTCAAATTAAATATATATATGTATATAGCAAACGTCTATCAAATAGAGTCCTCAAGCCGTTTTTAATGGTATAGGGGTAAAAAGAAAGCACTGAAGGGTCACAAGTGCATTGCAACCCTCTTAGTCCCTCCGGTCCGGTTCCGGTAACCTCATCAACAGCTTATAACAGTCCACTGCTGGACATAGGCCTCTCCTTAGAAAGGAGGTTTTGGCCTACTATACCACGCTGGCCAGACTGGTTGGTAAAGGGTTTGTTTCAAGTTTGCCTTCTTTTTGCAGTGCTGTTGTCCTGTGCAGTTTGTTCCCTCAGTCGGCTCTTACGACACCCACGGGATGAATAGGGGTGGTGACATTCCGTATTCTTAATCCACACACGGATACCACCGGTAACCTCACTCGGTGAAAAGCAAAATCAAAATACTACTTAACACCTGTTTTCTGTGTTATACTAATAAATAAATGTAAAAAGATTCTACGACACATAACAAAACCAGCCATGCGTTTAAGGACACTGTGAAGTCACGGTTCGTCAAACAGGAACTGAACCCACGATAAGTCGACCAACCGTGAATTGAGTCATCGGGTTACTTCCTGCAGATTGAGATTCACAAACCACACAAGATATCAGCATTTTTTTTATACCGGTAAGGTAGCAAACATACAACTGGCTAGACAATAGGCAGTGACTGAACATTAAAACATACAGAGAGGATACATATTTTTATTTTACATGAGAGAGACTGCCAATTTGTGGAAGTGAGCTTATCATGTCTTCAGGCGGACCGATGGTCGCTGGAGCCGCCATGTGTTGGAGTGGAGACCGCGATTGGGCAAACGTAGTGTAGGGCGCCCTGCGGCACGATGGACTGAGGCAAGTGGCTGGCAGCGTATGGATGCGCACAGGACAAGACCGGGATAATTGGTGCTCCTTGGGGGAGGCCTTGATTTAGCAGTCATGAAGTGTGGCCGCGGGTGGACGGGACGGGTTTTCCCCTCCACCCGCCATAACGGCCAGCCGCGAGGAGGCTACGTCCGCGTGTGCCGTACGTTGCCTAAATAGAGAATGTACCCGAAGGTGGTGCCCGCGCCGTTGCGGGCAGGCACTAGGAGGGGTCCGGATGTCTTAATAACAGCAGTTCCCAGATCCCTCCTATTACAGGCGCAGATTGGCACACCGTGTGGCCTTGATTCAGCAGTTGACGATAGACAAATAGATACCTGTCTTTTAATATAATGTAATATAAATATATTAGAATAAAAGAAACCCTAAGTAAATAATAATACAAATAAATCATATATATATACTCGTATATATATTTACAAAATAAATAAATATTCAACTGAAGTATAAGCTAGTATAAGATACCGTGTGGTGACGGATTAAGAATACAGAGTGTCACCACCCTATTCATCCCGTGAGTGTCGTAAGAGCCGACTAAGGGAAAAAACTACGCAGAACAACACCACTGCAGAGAGAAGGAAAACTCCTTTCTTAGGAGAGGCCTATGTCCAGCAGTGGACTATTAAAAGCTGTTGATGATGATGTTTCCATGTTTGTTTGTAAAGTCCCTCGCGCAAAGGATACATTCCTAGTGGAGAGATGTCTTAAAAAAAGAAAAAAAAACTGAGAAATATATCCCCGATCCTGACACACACCAAGAGGTTACTTGCCTGGTTTATCCTCCCTTTGTGTTGGAGGATCACACTACCCGTTCCCCCACACATAAAACCCGGGGTTGTTCTAAGCCATAGAAACCGGTTTACTACTCTATCGGTTACCTAACGGTGTTGAACGTGTCGTAATGCCTTGCTTATTATCCTTAGGACCCGATTAGAATTCTAAATAGGTTTACACTTGTACACCGTTTAACCCATTCAGATAAATTCTTTAATTTATTCTTTTCTTTTTCGACGACCGAATGGCGTAGTGGTTTGTGTAACGGACTGCTATTCCAAAGGTCGCGGGTTCGATTCCCGCTCAAGTCAAGCATTTGTGTGCATGAACATTTAATGTTTGATTTGGTCTGGGTGTTTCTATGTATAATATGTATGTATTTACAAAAAAAAAAGTATATATGTATTTATGTCAGTTGTCTAGTACCCATAGTACAAGCTCTGCTTAGTTTGGGACTAGATGGCGTTGTGTCAATGTGGTAAAATATTATTATTATTATTATTTAGATTTTTATCCCAGAAATCATCTTTTAATAGGGGGTGAAAGTTTGTATGTGAAATCAATAACCGTTGAACCGATTCAGATGAAATTTTATATAGAGATAGTTTGATTATTAAGGAAGGACTTTTACTACTTTTCATCGCGATAATCTAGCGGGCAGAGCCGCATACAAAGGCTAGTATGAATATGAAACATACATACACTAACGTCTTTTTGCCCGAAGTAA